GGAAGTATTTATTCATTGTAATTGGTATAAAGACGAACCGTGCTCTTGTATATCTCCATATATATAAAAAAAGAAAATCTGTATGTCTGTGCACATTCCCCATAGTCATGAAGGAGAGCGGTGAAGCGCATTTTGATCTGCTGGTCATCGAGATATGGTAAGGGCGGTAGCAAGCGAACTAAAGACGAGTTTGAATTCAAAAAAAAGGATAAGATTCGCTACTTGAGAGGTCAAGCACGAGGGATGGCTTCAAAGCGGGATGGAACCCGGGATACCAGCTCGTTATTTATCATAACTTATAATAACGGGCTAAGGATGTTTACGTGACTTTGTGTGTCTGTCTGTGTGAGAGTGTGTCTGTTACGAAATTCGTAGAGCGTGCTCCAGCCAACCTCCTGGGTCCAAATTTCGCACAGCGCATGCTAACCGCAAGAAAATCCAACATGCAAAAGCACGAGCAGATTTGTTGAGTGGATCCCTCAGAAATTGCGCACCAAACAGGTCCACCTGGCTTCTATACCGCAAAATTCCGTCCGTATCACCGCTTTTTGCAGAGTCGTGGACGAGTTTGGTAGGCAACTGTGCAAGCGATGGAGTTTAGCCCGAAAAGTGGTTTAAAGTTTACTGCATAACGAAAACGGCGCCAAAAGAATTGGTTGTGTAAATGGTCAATTTGCCAAGGTTCTAGCTAAGCGCTTGAGAAGATTTTCGCACAGAAATGTAGCTCACGGCTACTATTACCTCTATGGCGACTACCAAGCCATGACAAATCCAAAAACCTATTCAAATTTGCGTTTGTCTTCTTGCGAAAAGTTTCATCCACGCGAAATCACCGATCTCACGTGAAAAAACTTTCTAAATGAGTGGTTGTTTACATTTTATTCATGGTAGTCGGCATAGCGCGGTGAGTTCCAGTGCCACGATTCTACGAGAATGAGTAAGGCACATAAATAGTAGAGCCAGTGCGAGCCTCTGCGAAGCAGAGGTGACGCACTGGTAAATTATAAGGGCTGCAAATTTTTGGTACTCAGCTCGCAGTATTATGGACCACGTCAAAGCGTGATTGCTCAACTGTCGCGACTAATGATTTTTGAGATTACCAACACAAACATAAATCAAGATGTATTTTTCAGTGATTTTTGGATGCTGTGTGGCGGAAGAGACATTGCTAGCTGCAATTGCGCAGCGTCAGTTGATTTACACACTAGAATCACAGTAAATATAATTTTTTTCAGTAGCACAAAATGTCAATGGGTCCAACATAGACCACAATTCAACACTTGCTTCAGTAGATCTCAATACAACAGAAGAAGGTTTGGTAACCTATCAAGCCTCATGGGCCTTTATATGTCGCAGTTCCAGGCCCTCATGGTAATAACAATACAACACTTGCTTCAGTAGGTCTCAATGCAACAGAACAAGAAGGTTTGGTAACCTATCAAGCCTCATGGGCCCTTTTATGTCGCAGTTCCAGGCCCTCATGGTAATAACAATACAACACTTGCTTCAGTAGGTCTCAATGCAACAGAAGAAGAAGGTTTGGTAACCTACCAAGCCCCATGGGCCCTTGTATGTCATAGTTTCAGGTCCTCATGGTATCTTAGGAAAGAATAACAACGCCAGTGCTGGAGAGCATATTGACGCCTATCCAGCACATGTCAAAACATCATTTTTCATTGCTTTCGGTATGTTTTGTTCTAATTTTTCCCTATCAAGAAAGTTTTTTTCAGTTACAACTCTTTGCGTATTGCTGTCGTGCTCATTTCTGATCGGATTGTACGAAGTTCACGACCAGAAACACAAGAAAGTGAAGACACACGCGTAGAACATTTTGGACTACATTCAGTCGTTGCTTTTAGTATGTAGTTTTACCGACTAATTTTTTCCAGGCGGTCTGTACATTTTTGCACTGGAAATGCCCACATTACTCTTTTCCTTGTACTTGGGTCAGTTAAATAAATTTTGAAAATGTCTCTTCTAACAACTAGATCCGATTGTGCAGTAGTGCTACAAAGCATTGAAAAATGGAAAAAATGCTGGACTAGTGTTATTCGTAACTTTTTCTTACACTGACCGAGAAAGACATTTCCAGAAAATTTTCGAAAGCAATGAAATACGTAGAAAAAAAACGGAAATACTGTCATAGCTCGCCAATTGCGAAGCTTTTCTCAGCAATGGCAAGCTTCTAGATTTTTCTTCTCATAAATATTTTATCTGCACTATTATCGAGGTCTCTCGTCCACGCTCCTAAGGAGCAATTTCTGAGTCTTTCAAGGAAATTTCATACAGATTAGCAGAAAAAGAGAGATAGAGCTGTTAGACGGGATTTCTTTTGTTAAGTTCGGGCTGCTTAGAAGTGAAAACCTGAAATTATTTTTTATATCAATATGTGTAATTACCAGGATCACAAATACCGAGAAAAAAATCCAAGTTACAAGCGACTAATCGTACACCGCGGCAGCAGAAAATTTTGATTTTTCATATTTTTCATAACACACGCGCGTTGTTTGGTTCTATAATAGGGGGTAGAGGAACGCCTTTCGCGGCCAACTGCTCCTTTTGCAATTTGTAGCATGTCGTTCTAGGACCAATGGTCCGCGTAGGCGGCCAAACTGGCGGCGTTCGCTCCCCTACTATAATAAAAGCGAAAATCCTGCTCTTAAGGATATGACATACAGATGAAGAGGATCTAATGAAGAAATGTTTCATTTAAAAATCTTCCTTGTTTCTTCTGAGCATGGATAACCGAAATCATTGAGTCTAAACTGAGTATGAAAGTGTAGAAAAATGGAAGAAGATCATGGGTAGACATATGAAGGTAATTGGAGGAAAAAGCTAAGCAATCTCAGTCATAGGCCACAACATCAAATCCAGAAATACGATGTCCAAAACAAACGTGGATACTTTGTTTTTTTTAGAAGAAATTGACTAAAAAGCGTTGCTCGAGCAAAAATTCAAAGTGGTGTTCTTATTATCATTCCCTTGCTAAGTGATTCACCATTGAACTTCAGCGTATACCGTATTCAGCATGATCACGCTCCGGATATTAGATTTAGAGCAGAATTTTACAGTCGCGAATGCATCAAATAAGCTGCCTTTCGCGCAAAGACTTGGCTAAGGCACTTAGCATTTTCCTAAAATGGTTATGAAATATTCCTTGCCATTGCTTTCAACACTTCTGCTCTCCGTCCTTTCATAGCATTCTCGCATCGCTCGCTTTCAGCTTGCACAAGCTTGAAAATCGCCGAGTTCAGTCGTACCTCGCACGTTCCGATTCCAGATAATGAGTCGGTGTTTGCCCAGTATCGTGTCCTGTTCCTGTTCGTCCCGGCGCCCGAACCGTGAGATGTTTGCAGCGATGGCGTGCAGGCCTTGCCGGTCTTCAAATTGGCCGCTGGACATCACTGGACGGGTGTGAGCTTCTGTACGCTGTTTCGGGAACTCTGCTCAAACCCAAACCGGACACCTGATCCCTCTCAGTCCATGTGGAAAGTATGTCGGAAACAGCGGTCTTCGTAAGCATGGTGGGAAGAGATAGAACTGAATGACAAGAAAGTAGAAAAACTGAAAGCCGATCAGATGAATCTCCTGCCAGGAGCGAACTGCTCATAGCAAACAAACAAGTTCCGCAACTATACCAATGCGTATGATTCACTTTCAATCAACAGTCTATGTTTGAGCACGACCAAAACTGCTTGTAGGGCTTGATAGCATTTTTTATTTACTCTGTTTGGAAAGATTATTCACAGGAAACCATGTTAAGAAACAAATTTGCTAAAAGCAGGTATGCGTAGCAGTCGTAAACTAACTCAACTATCTCATTAATTTGAGCTTTAAAATTTGCATTTTGAGAAAAGAGTAAAAATCTTTTGCATGAAAATTTTGCAGTTATTAATGCAAATTCAGTCCTCGTATACGCGCTTTGGTTGGGCTCAGCTGATGACGATGGTCTGGTTTATTCTCATCAGCTGAGCAGACCAACCAAAGTAGTCCTCAACTTTTGTAATATGACTGGAGAAGGTGAATTTATGGAACCCCTAAATTTTGGTTCATAGCAGAAATCAAATCTTCGAATGTTTTCGCTATCCATAAAAAGCAGACCAAAGGAGCTGTGATGCTAGATAAGCCCAAAGCCAAAAATATAGCTAGACTTTGATTTCTAGCATGAAGTGCAGAGCCTTTTACAATCGCTATTTGCCACTCCAATGTCCCATTAGCAGGGTCCTGGCACCAGGGTATTTCCAAAACGAAGTCCCATTTGATCTCGAAAATTTCTTACGGAATTTCTTTTGACCCTAAACCCTAAACCTAACCCCCCCCCCCCCAAAAAAAAAGAAACAAAACGTCGACTTAGAAAACGTAATTGCAGTTTTTGTGTCTTTTTGTCTACAAAAACGATGTTTCCTTTGATTTTTGGCGCAGAAACGATATCCAGCTTGACCCGGTGCCAGCTGTGCTGAGCGTGCCCATAAGGTAGGGCAAGGTAGCAAATCTCAAAGCGTAAGCCACCGTGAATCAGACGTGGGAAGCTAGCGTAGGTATTTAGAAGGTGTTTCTCCACTGTCACAGAAAAAATCAAGGTTTCAAGGTTCCATTTTGCCAATGGACCAAACCCTCACCCCTCGGGGTGTAGGTAGATACCAGATATTATGCGAGCAAAGTTTTGTAGTTTTTTTCTGAGTACCGAATTTGTGACGAAAAGCTCATGCAACCCTCGCTTAAGCCCTCATCATTTCCACTTCAAATGTGTCTCTCCGATTAATTACGTTCTGTGAGGGCCAGATGAAGATAGAGTGTTTGAGACCAGCTTCTTTGCATGTCCACTGTTTATCCTCGTCCTCCGTGGCTTGAACCAAACTGACCGCACTAGTCTTGACTCTCTAGACTGAGAATGCTGTCTCGTTCCGATCAACGGCGTTCACCCGCCCTCCGGTTGTGGACCAAATATAAAAGGTACGGTGGCAAAGCTAGTCTGTTGTTAGCTGTACGGGGAGACAACAATGACCACCAGGATACTAGCAATTTTATTGGCTTTGGTGAGTTCAAGTAAATTTTACCACTTTTTACAAGTTTGTTTGCTGCATAAACTTTCAGTCTTACTTTATCATTCCAAAGCCCTTCTCATATAATTTTTGATTTTTTACACCTCTCAACATATTTTTCATGCTATCTACTTTAGAAATTTTGTAAGAGCTTGTAGAATCTCTTGTAAAGCTTTGAAAACTCTACCACGTAATCTCGCAGCCTGTGAGAAATTTCAAACATTTTCCTATCCCTTCCTCACCAAACTTTTCTACTTCCAGGGTGCTTCCTCATATAGCTTGGATCTTTGTGACTACTATGCTTTAACCGGTCAACTGGACAGTCATCCTGAATGTAAACGAGACATGCCTGAACCGTCAACTACCCCAAAACCTGTTCGCATTGAGTTCTGCTCAAGGTGAGTGATAGACCAATAGGTGTGTATTTGCACAATTCTGCTGCATTTTCTCTCGGCGAGTTGTGCCTTGCCTAAAAAAGACCGTTTTCACCAACGAAAAGTACCATGGAGGGTAAATTTTCATTGTAATCCTACTTGCACCAAAATTCCAAGATTTTTTTTGGCATGAAAGCTATTTATTTATTTGGAACTATGTCATAGTCAAAAAAGATAATTCGGGTATTTTTTTCGGCAAAATATTTGGAACTTACTTATTAGCTTTTGGGTCAAGTTTAACGCTGCAACTCCTCAATCTTTGATTTCCAATGGTTACTCAATTATGCAAACCTTTTTGAAATGTGTTTTTGGACTTACAAGAAGGTTTACGGATTGATATCCTTGTTATTCTGCTGTTCATGTGCCAGCTTTGCTAGCTAGTACTTTAGCCGTCTACGTATCTCTTTTGTACGTTTTCTTTTTTTTTGCTGTGTTTTTAAGTCACTCAGAATGTGTGCGGTCAAGCAAATTGCATGCCGAAGAATCTAAGGTTGCTAAAAAAAAATAAAATAACACTGGTCAACACATTCCCGACAATAGGACCCACCGGTGGGTCTTACGTGTTCTTTTCAGACGGCACAACCCACCGGTGGGTCGTAAGTTTGACAAAGCTAAAAAAGCTCTGGTTTGAAAGGGCAGTAATCAAAAAAATAGCCCTTGTCGTGACTGTGTTAATCGTTGTTGTAGTTTCATAAGGTTAAGCAACTTATGGCAAATAGGCATTTCCAAAAAATTACCGTTAAAGTTTATTGTTAGAAGTGGAAAAAGTAATTTAGATACTAGACTCTGTTCTTCTTATCTCAAGCCAAACATGACTCACCTCTTTACAGCTCAGCAGCTCTAATCCAGTGCACCTCCGATCATAAAACTTGCCCGCTATCCGGACAAGTTTGTATACAATCGGACGGCAATAAATGCTGCCAAATCGAGACAGCAGGTTAGTGTGTCCGCTTCTAAAGAGCAAAACACGACTGGAAGCGCCGTTTCCGCCGGATTCATGCGTTCCGTTTTTTCTGTTTACACTACTCAGCGGTCAAGATGGTCCACACCCGGTTGTGTGCGCACTCACAATCTCATTGTTTCGCTGCTCAATCTCAAGCAAATAACGCTTGAGCTTGTCTTTGATATTTGACTTCGTTTCGTAGACGCCGCCTAGCATTAGGACGAAGGAAGCAGAAATTCGTCAAATGCTATTTTCGTTGAGCAAATGATTTTTGTTGCCGCCGTCAATCTCTGTCGGTTTACGGAAAAATTTTTTATAGAGAATTATCACGACGATTTTTTGCGGAAAAACTCTCAATCTGCTTAGCTGCTCAGAATTCTTATCAAAAACATGTTGTTTATAATTTTCGCACTTTTAGTTCCTAACCATTTCAAAAAATGGTGCAATGATTGGTTTAAGCAGCCTCAATAATATTGAATGAAGCTTTAGTACCAGTTAAACAAATTCAGCATTCTACATAAAAATTGCTAACCACACTTTGAATATATTATAACTGAGATTATCAAACTTTTTTGACAGAAATTTTAGAGGCGTTTTAGATAACTTGCGAGGTTTCAGAAGCATTTTTGAATGCAAAAAATACAAATAGTCCTTGAATTATACTCAAATACATCCTCTGAGTATTTCAAAAAGTTACCACATCTTTTGAAATTCATCCTGAAAAGAATAGTGTTGAACTGAGTTCTCAAGAACTCAAAGTATCACATAGGTTGTCAGCTCAAGCAATGCACTAGGACAATATTATAATTACTCTCACAAGGCTATTTGTAGAAAGTAGTTTGAAGTTTTAATGCTAACGGCTTGGTAACAGTTTTGAGAACCTGTGCTTCAACATTTTTTTGCTCAAAACGCAACAAACTTCAGTAGCTATCGAAAGCATTAGGCATCAGTTAATGACGCCTGATGCTTTTGACGCTAGCTCTCATATTCTTCGATGATTCTCCGAAATCGCTGATATTACCAAATTTGATTCTTATTCAGGTATTCCTGCATCAGAGATTAACTCCAAAGCGGGTTCATGTCCACGACCATTGGGTGTTTCCGTACTTCAGGTAAGCACAGTGTGTGATTAGCTGTGGAAAATACGTTTTTGAGAGGGGAGCAGAAGAAGGTTATAGAAGGTCAGGGAGGCAGCAACAGAATCTTGGATGTTATGTAGGAGAAAGGACTTTAGTTAAGAAAAATAGAAAAAATATACTCTCGATCTACGTTAATTGTTTTGGGCCACCTCCTTTGAGTTAGGAACATTAAAGCATGCTGAGAAAGTTTTGACACTGAAGTTTTTGGTTTTTGTCAAGAAAACTCCAGTGTTATTTTGAGCTAACGTTTCAAAGAAGCAGCAGCGGGTGTTTAGTGGCATGGAAATCACGAGATTTACTCATTTCACACGATTGGCCTTTTTTGTATGGTTACGTAGGTATACAGTACACAGTGTTAAGATCTCGAAATCTGCCGTGTTGCAGAGGCGAAGGGGGTGGGGGGTGGGGGGGATTACTACATAGTGATCATAAATTCATCCACTCCAAATGGTGGCGCCTTATAGCGAAATTACAGACTAGACCTTGACAGATCGTACGCCCACAGTAACCCCAGAAGCTGAGAGCTGGATGAGTATGTTCGTGTTTCGTGATCAGCATATAGCGCAATCTGAGATCTTACAATTTTGAGTTGTGAAGCCCGGAAACCTTCACTTAAGACTTATACGCTCATCAATGGATTCAGCATCCCCGAATTCCTTTCAGGACGCCAACATAGGCTGCTGGATGGACACAAACTGCCCTGGTATACAGAAATGCTGTGTGGAACCGAATCCTGTGACTAACTCGGCCACACGAATTTGTCGCGATCCCGTTGGGATTCGAAGTAAGCCATTTTTTTTTCAATATTTGGTCCGCTCATTACCCGGAATTGATAAGAATGAAGGTAGTTCGCTCATTACTCGGAATAGATAAGAGTAATTAGAATACATAAGTGTTGTGATATGTCTTGCATGCTCACCAATACTCAGTTTACATTATGTGTCTGCAGCAGCAAATTAGCATCACCTTACCTTTAAATAATTATTTTTTTTCAATGCAAGTTTCTGCGCGACATTTATACAAGAAATCTTAGTTGGTGTAACGGTGTTCGCCGGGGTACGGTAGGTGTACGGTAGCAAATCGACTCACAAATAGCAGAACAAGTAAGTATTAATATTCCATGTATCCGTGACAAAGAGGGAGAGTCAATAAGGTTTCCGATTTGCTCGTCTAGCTGAGTAAACTATTTCCGGAATCGAAAAAATACCTGAATCAAGTATGGTGAAACAAAAAAGAACTATGCTGTTAGCAATTACGATGTTTCTATTTTTAAAGACGGCCGTAATTTGCGCATTTAAAATCTGATAAAAATGCACTTTTATAGGCTAAGAATGATTGAATACACTCGACTTTATTTCTTGCCCTCACCGCACCCATTTTTCTTCTTCTATGGTTCAATATAAGCACAAGTGCCAAATTTCTTGTTTTCATTTTAGTATTATTTTATTTATGGCACAGAAAGTGCGTCCACGCAATTAGTCGGAAAGTTTCGGCAATAGTCATTGGAAAATCAAAAAAGTTGAAAAACGAAAAAATAAAGCCATCACTAGAAAGTCTCAAACGAGTTTATCATAGGGCTTAAAAGCCATCACATTTTTTTGGCTAAAATTTTACTCCTACTTCCAAATCTGCAAAATCGTATAAAATTCATTAAGGTAGTCAGTTGAATTTAAAAGACACTTTGTTACTACCAGATTAACATAAAATTACTTTGGTAGCATCCAATTGACTGCCTTATTGAATTTTACACGATTTTGCAAATTTGGAAGTGGTAGTAAAATTTTAGCCGAATAATGTGATGGAAGGAAGAGGATGATATCACGACAAACAATGAGAAATTATGATGAAATTGAGAATTTTTGCACAATACATGAAGAATTTTTCACGCCGGTTAGACAAAATGTAGCTGAAAGGTGTGATTCCACGCGGACATCTGCAACAAATGCCCACTTCTTGAAGGAAAATTTGCGCGCATTTGTTGCAGATGTCCGCACCGGACCACCTCTATCGGCGACGTACAATGTTCTTACCCTCCACCCCCCAAGAAATACACTTTATGTTCATTATGTACCTTGGTTCACTTCGCATCACCTTAGGCACATCGTTATGTTCGTTACCAATGGTTGTTGGCTCCTGCACTGCACCTGTGACTCGGTTTTACTACGATGCATCATCGGGATCGTGTCAACGATTTACATACTCTGGATGTGGCGGAAATGCCAATAATTTCCAATCTTTGGCAAGCTGCCAAGCCACATGCGGATCTTCGGGTAAGGTGTTTTTTGTGGGCTTTCACTCGACCAAGGTTGGAGCTATAAATTAGTTATGCTATTCTTCACTTTATAGCAGGAAGTGCTAGGCAAATCTGAGCATTTGCGTTTCTTGTGTGAAAACATCTTGAGGTACTGACCAAGCCAGTTAAAAGCGGTAGCTCATATGACTCGCATTGAGCGCGCGAAAATCGATTAAGAACGCGCGGACCAATCAGCGTCCTCGAGTACGGTAACAAGTACAGTCTGGGCTGGGATTGAAAAGTCAGAATTTTCGATCACAAATCATCTAAATGAGCTCCCGTTTTGGCGATGGGTTGGCTACTATCTCAACAAAAGATCCACTTAAGTTCTTCAAGTAACCATATTCGCCCAAATATTGCCCTTAAAAGTGCCAACACAACCACCTTTGATGGACTCACCCTTTAGGTATAACTGGCACTCCTCAATGCCCAGCGGATGCAAATGCTGGTCTAAACTGCTTATTCGCTCATGCTGATGCTTGCAATACGAGCAGTGACTGTCTTGGACGTGAAAACACTGTAAGCTTTATATTTAGCGAGGTTTTCTCACAAATTTTACACTGAAATGTTTCTGAATCTACATGATTTAGGTACAACCATCATGCTGTATGACCACATGTGGATACAAAATCTGTTATCAATATTGATTGGCCTTGTAACTTTTTGAGCTTTTTGATACTCATTAATTATTTTCGATATCATGATGGTTACGTGATTGAACTTTTATTTGATGTACCATTGTAAGTCTACCTGGAATAAGTCGTTTATTTTTGGGTAATTATTTTCTTTGATATTAAGTTGATTTCGTTCTCATTGTCGCAGCAAATGCATGAAAAAAACATTGTTATCAGTTTTTAGCAGCTTTGCTAGAACTAACCAGCTTGCAGTGGCGGTTCCAGGATTTCCGTCCGCCGAGGGGGGGGGGGGTAAGGTGGCAAAAAATCTCTTTAAATGAAGGTGCGTCGCGTTAGCCCCGCACTCCGAGAATTTTTTGAGGTGGTTGCGGGCCCATAACCACGCCTTTAGAAAACTAGTTCTACAAGTCTGATTTGAATTTATAAAAATTTTCATAGATAATTCTAATCATTTACAAAAATGAACAAGTTATTGCAGATGTTCATAACCCATGCAAGTAAATTTCATCCATTTCGAGGCCCTTACTTGCGGGGGGGGGGGAGTAAGTACAGTCTGGGAAGTAGAAAAATGGCTTATTTTATGCTCAAGTATTGTACAGAACGCGGAGATAAATTGAGATTTCGTGATGTTGCAAGCAGCGCAAAAATAAAAAGTAGCGAAGTACACTAAATTCCTTGCAAAATAATAGCGACTAAGTTTTGCCCTAAAAAGGTGAAACAGTTTTAAGCAGATTGTAGATGATTGCGTACACTATCATCACCTAAATATGCGTAAGGAGAAGATAATAGAAAAGAATAAAGAAATGGAATTTTCTACTAATAGTTGTCAACTACACTGATCGTGGGATACCGCGCATGAAGTGTATTGCACATATTCAGTTGCAAATGATTCGATGGCAGAATATGACGATTTTAGCAATGCTTTGGTTATCGCTTGATCGCGGATACACAATCCACAGATGATAATTTACATTCGACCGAAGTGTACTGCCCCTACGTGGCCGACATTTTTCGACAACATTCACGCGTGAGCAATTTGTCAAGGGCACAGAACCTGATATGCGTACTACGCAAAATCCGTACGCGCAAATTGTCGCATTACAGCCTTACGGATGTGTTACGCGCAAGTGTTGTTTGCAAATGTCGGCATCGTAGAGACACTATAATTAACGTCATCACATACGTCGCCTCTAAACATTAGCCAGATTTTTTATAAAAATCGGAATAGTAACAAAAATTTGTATATCATGTACAGGTGAATCATCGCATGCAGAAATTGTACCGTTTGCGTCGAGCAGACGATAAGAGAAATAAAAGCGATAGGAAAGACGCCGCGTCCGCATTGACGTCTTGTCTCTGCGTGCGATGAATCACTCATAGAGTCTGCAGTGTCGCTGTGCATTCTTCGTGTCATATGTGACTTAACGCGCATTGCATACCGCGCGCTCTACTTCACGGCTTTAAGACTGAAATTTTGCACCCCACGCAAACTGCTTCACGACTTGTAACATTGAAATCGTCTAAGTTTTGGAAGTTTCCCCTGCTCTTCTCTCTTTATTTTGATTGGATGCGTGTCAGGTGATGGCAAGCATTTTACAATTAGTATCGCTAGAGGAATTACTGAGTTATCAATAAACTGTTCGTCGGTTGCCGCGCGCAGTGTGCAGGCTCACATATTAGTTACAGATGACTCGCGCATGCTATTTCCAAGTCCCAAGACCTCTGTCAAATGAAGAAAATTAGAATCCTATCCAGTCAATGTGGGAATCTCAAAACTCGACTAGATGTCAGTGGAAATGATGTTGTGTGAGGCTATCTTGCTACAATGATAGGTGTTTGTTATCAACATTGGGAAAAGGGTATAAAAGTAGATGAAACGAGTCAGTACCATTTTTTCTTCCCAATCCAAAGAAGACAGAGGTACTGCAGTCAAGCAGGTCCTCAGTTCTCTGCAGTCATCAATTGCCAGAAGAAGACATACAGGACCAGTCAACGTATTCCACAATGAGCCGGATTGCCTTAGAGGCCGTTATTCTTCTCTGCATCGGCGTTTCTAGCAGAGCTGAAACTGATCAAGAAAAGTTGTTCGAAAAGATGGCTAACGAGTACGACCTTTCGGGACTGTTGGAGCTGGTTCCAGTTCATGTAAGCTTTTTTGAATTAAAAGCGTGCTGAATCGCCTAAAATTAGCGCAGCATTCAGATTGCAATTCCTGGTCATCAAATAACTCACGGAATTTACGATAAGGAGCAACTCAAGAAAGATACGAAGAAGAAAGTCCAGGTGAGCAGTACGAAGAGTTGTCCGAGACTTGACCGAATTATTTGTAAATTAGGAAAGAATGGAGAAATACCAAGGGTATTTGATTGAAACGATGAAGAAGTTGCTTAAACAACTAGCAGGCCAAACACTTCCACCTGCCAGTGGTTAGTCAGTTGTTCTGAAAATTTCTGAAAGCAGTCACAATTGATGGTGCCCAAAAAACGAAGAAAACCAAGAATTCGGCCAAGCAAAAATATTTCTCATCCTAGACTGTGTTCAGAATGGTCCTGCCAAATTTGTGTCAGAGCTGTGCCAGTGCTGCTCCGGCACCGTGCCGGAAAGTTTATCAATCAATATGACACGCCCACTGGGTTTTTCCGCACGTCGCTGGCACGGCAATAGAACGACGCTAACCCATTCCCCGCGGAACACTGCTTCACGGCCAGCTACGCTTTGGGAAATGTGCAATTGCACACATTAGCAAATAATGCTACTCCGCTTACTATGTGACTTCAAACAGCAATAAACTGGTCCTTTAAAACATTGGATTTCTTACCAATAATTTTTTCATTCAGGTACCCAGATACAAAATCCTAGCGGCGGCGCCACAAGCGAGAGAAGAAGGAGGGCCTGTGAGTACAATTTATTTCATTTTCTCCTATATAAACGTGACGCACATTTGTTTCAGTGGAAATCATGGATTTCATCAAATGGGTGAACGATAATTTCTATGTGGACTTTATCCCTACGCGTGTCGAAGATATAGAAGATGCATAATTCTAAAACTAATTTTGCGTTTTGTTACATCAATAAAGTGATGTATTAACATACACAGTGATGTGATGAAGCATGAGTTTGTAAAATATGGCTTAGAATAATTTACACTCGGCTGGAGTTAAGTCTTAGGAAGTAAGAGTTGTGGGCGTAAGTCGCAAGGCTTTCCACACAAGACCACACCGCCGCGCGCGACACAACCTGCGGCAGCTTTCGTCTAATCAAAGCACAGGGGAAGGAAAGATTTGCCCCGTGCATGACGTATTGAAACGAATCAGGTTGGCGATGAAGACACCGCTTATGCGGAAAGACCGTATCTCAGGAATTCTGAGAAATGAAAGTTTCTCAGAATTCCTGAGAAACTTTCATTTCTAGTTCGTAGTGGCAGGGACATTATCGCGACATCCTTAGCGCTGCGGTGGGCATGCGTTCAGCTCTAAATAGCATACTTCTGGGAACGCAACATCGTATAGAGTATCTTATCAGAAGAAAAACTGCGAAAAAGATTTCAAACAGTGCCTACAGTGCTTCAGGAGGATGCTTGAAGGCAGTGGCTTGGCAAAACCAAATATCTCGAAATTTTGATATAAAAGGTTGCTTGCATCCTAAGCAGCAGAACAAAGCAGGTCAGAACGCACTACATGCTGCCCGTGCCAAAAAAACTGCCCCTAAACCCATGCGCGCAAGCCATTCTTACGTGCACTCCGACGAGCTTGCGGTTTCCCTCCCACCGTCAGAGGCGGCATGCCGCAATGCTTCAAACGGGTCCCGCAACGACTCTACGTCTCCAACCATGGCGAGGAGTGGTCCGTTAGTCTAAATTCAAAATGAGATCCCTTTGAAAACGCTGGTTTCGACATTTGCGAGCTCTTCAAAATGTATTTTCGAAATCAGCGCATCGAAGTACCCCAGGTAAGCAAAAAAACTTCAGGTTCAGGATTTCCCGAGCCACTGCCTTCAAGGGACGAATTAACATTTGATCCTTTAACATCCTATGTACTCCCTTTAGACCGGAGTTCTCTTTCTTTGTGGGTTTCCACCAAGAGAAATGTTACCTGGCGAGTCAATGACCTCGCATCTTCCACGCCTTGTTTCCGTCCATTTGCGCCTAAAAGTTCCATTTCTTAACTGCCAGGGAAACTGTACAGTAGAATTAAATTGTTTGAAAATGTTTTGAGAAATTACGATGAAGTTTAAAAAGAAGTTTCAAAGGTAGCACTTCGAATACTTTCTTTTTCTTTTCATTTGCATTATCGAATTGTATCTATAACAGAACCACGAGCAAAACTTACCGTTCATTTCAGCTCTACCCATTAGCGAGAATTTTTCGCTTAATCCATAAATTACTGTATTTTCAACCGGAATACTTTTCTATGGATGTTCTCCCAACTCGGATTATCCACAAAATCTACCCTCATATTTCGCCTAAGTACGCTGTACTCTAAAGAATGCGTTGTTAATGATGTTACCCTTACAAGGAAAGGATACTTGGTTGAAGTGGCGTTTCCATATGAAATGTAACTGTCTTAAAGACCACGGAAGTTGTTTGAAAATCTATTTTCGGTATTTGCAAAGCGCATTCGAAGAATTATGAGATTTTTTGGAGCAAGGACTTGAACGCAATAAAAACATTCAGAACTGTAGTTTGGGAGCTCAAATAGGGCCATGAATATTGTCAAGCGCTTTATGCGGTCAGTACTTACAGTCCAATGCTAGTCTGCTCTTTTCAAGTGATGGAAAGTCAGCACCCGTTTTTACCTAGGTCAAGCCTTTCAAATTTCTGCCTCATACAAATCCCCATGTCCCCTCCCAGCGCTTTGCAGATACCAAAAGCACATTTGGAATCAACGTTTCATGCTCTACAAGACGTCACTATTCTATATTGAAGCTCCGCTTTGACCAAACATCCTTTCCTTTTTGAAAACAAGAAAAAAACGAGACTCAAAGATAGCCAATTTGATAAGTAAGTTTGGTTTACACAACTGCAAACCAACCAAAATCCTCGATGGTTTTGTTCTTCCGGATCACACTTTTTTTCCAGTGGAAATATCCAAAATAATTGTAAAACGATTACAACCATACCTTCGATAGTCAAGAGACAGAGGCTAGAAAGTGATAGTTGTTTGAGTTCCTGCCCCCTATAAAAAGTGAAGGTTGTTTCAGAAAAATAGACGAAAATTTAGAGATACAAATTAAATTAGGAAACTTAGAAAATTCATATAAAGCAGAGGTTAGCACATCACCAAATCTGAGACCTTAACTTGGTGGTTTCCTACGCAGAGTTTCGTCTCCAGGATTGCCGGTTAAATTGGGTGGCAACAACAACAAAGTTCTTTTCCAATCAAAAAAGCGCTGTTCAGCTGTGGCGTTAGTTGGGGGACCGAAAGAAGAAGAACTTGTCAACAACTGAATTGAACATGTTAAACATGTCTGTAAAGTTGTGTTGCACATCGACGCCAATCTGATTTTTATGCGTCCTTTGAATTTTCACCCCCGCATAATCGTTTCGTACGCTGCGACGTTGTCTGGATTCTTCCGCTCATCATTCTGAGAAAGTATTGCCCAAGCTGGAAAAAATTCGTTGCAAAAGCACAGAAAGAGAACAAGGTAAAGAAAAACGCACTTTTTTGTATTTTTCACAAAAAAAAACCCGGCATAAGCAAAGAAGTAAGCTCGGCGACGTTGTCTACATCGTAGACAGAAACAAGACCTATCGAATACACAAAAAAACCGAGTGAAAAAAGTTAAACTGAAGAAAAAACAGGTTTTCGAAAACGCCGTTTTTCGAGGATTTCTCGTTTAAATCCTAAAAGGAAGTTTTGCGACGTTGTCAGTGTGAAAATAGAGATCAAGAGCTCTAATATGATATATAGATTATCGAAATTGGGCTCCAAACAACGAAGAAAAGGGTACCAGAGCCAAATGCCCCGCGCCCCGCATTTGAGGTAGCGAGGTAGCGCGCAGCCCGCGGAGACGCAGACGAGCAGCGGAGACAGACCAGAGCCGACGGGGCATTTGGCTCTGGTCGTGGATCTTAGCGGGGTCTCAACGAAACCCTGCAACATTATATATCGTTGTGATCCTCATGAGACGGCCAGGAGCACTGACAACGTCGCGGATCTTGAAAATCACTCCATAACGAGATAGACCAGCATTCATATGGCGACTCTTTGCGCAAGATTTGAGCGCAGTTTTTCGTTTTTATTGAACTCTAGCGGCTTTAATAAACTTCCAACATTCAGCCGCACTTCAGAGAAAGGTTAATTGAGAAATTTTGCCCTAGTTTTTGATTAAATTTTCAAATAAAAACCTTCTTCTCAATAAAAAAGGCCATACAAACGCAATCCTTCGCTTTTTTGAGCTTCTTTTGAATGTCACTGCTATATTTGCCTCATTTAAATTCATCCCTATATGGTTATGTCATTAGTTATGTCATAATTTCCGGGGCTTCGCCCCGGATAATTTTTGTACTTCTCCCCAAATGAAGGTTGTGTTCTATCATGACGCTCAAAGTGAAGGTTACCAGAGTACATGGCTCTATGTATCGAAGGTACGATTACAACATATCAGTGTGCTTCAGCTTGTTGATATTTATTTATTTATGCATTGCCCATATGATATACAAATAAATAAATTAAAATCATAGTACATCCAAGGTAGAAAAACTATCATTTACTTTCGAGTCCATTCATAAATGTACCAGAGCTGTCAAGAGTGTATAAACTCAACAAGCGCATTATCATGGGCTAGAATCGATTAATATGTATTAGGTTGTCCCATAAGTCTTTTCATTTTTAAGTTTTCGTTGTAATAAATCACACAATTCCTATCTTAAATAGACATCAGGAGGTCGTTCGATAGAGCAAAGCAAGCTTTATAAGATGGCGTTTATGCTTTTGCACCAGTTTCAATCCACCTCAAGTTCAAAACTTAAATCTGAAGTTTCGGATGCCAAGAAATTTGAAAATTTTTATATCTCAGTTCAAAAAAGTTCTACAGATTTCTCACTCACGCATATACACTCCACATCAAACACTCATATGTGCTGTTGCTGTTTTTATTATTGGCTAGAAGTCAAGAAAACAAGAATTTCTATATTTTTACCAAGGTGACGCTGTGCTGTCCTTACACTAACAGTCGTATACTGCAAGCCCTTAGTACTACAACCGTAAATTTTTGGCTCTTATAAGTTCTCGTTTCCGAGAAATATCGAATTTAGCTTTCCTCACTAGGGTATTCCACGCTTAACTCAACATTTCTCTGAAACCAAAGCTTATAGAGAGCTAAAAATTTACGGTTGTACTTTTAAGGGTTTGCAATATACAATTATTAGTATTAGTGTAAGAGCACGGCCTCACTTTGGTGAAAACATGGAAATTCTCGTTTTCT